TCTTCACACACACATACCCCCTCCCCACCCAACCCAGGAAGAACCCCTTGCATTTTCTGATACTGACTACATAAAGGTCTCTTTCTTCCTCCCATATTAAATCTCCATTTTAAGAAAGAGTTAAAGTTTCTCAAGTCTTCTCCCCTCTGCCCCCAGGACTATAGGCTTGTGCCAGGATGCTTGGCTAATTTTTAAAATTTTATTTTTTGTAGAGACAGGGTCTCACTATGTTGCACAACCAGGTCTTGAACTCTTGTCCTCAGATGATCCTTTTTGGCCTCCCAAAGTGCCTAGATAATTGGCATAAACTGTCCCACTATCAGTGTGATGCTTGCTTCTGATTTCACTTAGATTTTAATGTTATTTTAAAAGCTTGATCTTTAATTCTCACTTTGGTGCTTCTTTGCATAAACTTCTATCTTTGAATAATTGTTCTTTGATCCTTTCAGAGCTTTGATAATATTTTTAATACTGTTAGGTTTATAGCAACACTTTCCATGTTCTGAGACACTCTTAAAAAGAGTGTTACCCAACGATGGAAGATACTGCTTTACCAAGGTAACCTTTCTATCCTAAATTCAGAAGTGGGAGGCTCTCTCTCATCATCCCTTCTTAACTCAGTTTTGAGGAGCAAAAGAATCAATGTTAATTCTTGGTGTCTTTCTCTTGGCTCCAAGTTAGCGGCAGACCTTGGTGTATTGTGCTTCACTTTATTGCACTTCTCAGACAGGGTGTGTTTTTCACAAATTGAAGATCTGTGGCCGTCCTGTGTCAAGCACGTATGTTAGCACCCTTTTTCTAACACATGTGCTCACTTTGTGTTTCTGTATCAGATTTTGGTAATCCTCCCAGTATTTTAAACCTTTTCCTTATTGTATCTTATATGGTGACCTGTGATCAGTTGTCTTTAATGTTACTATGCAATTGTCCTGGGGCATCATGAACCACATCCTTATCAGTCCTGCGTGCTCTGACAGCTCTACCGACCAACCATTCACCTTCTTTCTCCTGCTCCTCAGGCCTCCCTATTCCTTAAGAGATGACAATCTTCATATTATGCCAATTAACAATGTACTAAGGCCCCTTCGAGTAAAAGGAAGAGTGAGACTTCTCCTAGTTTAAGTCAAAAGTTAGAAATGAGTAAGATTAGTGAGGCAGACGTATCAAAAGCCAAGAGAGGCCAAAAGCCAGGCCTCTGTGCCAAACAGCTAGCCAAGTCGTGAATTCAAAGGAAAAGTTCTTGAAGAAATTGGAAGTGCTTATGTGTCGTGACCCGTCAGGCTCCTATGGCCCTGGTCTCGGTTAGCGCAGGAAGGAACAAGGGGAGAGGTGGATTAG